GCTTTTTTCCTGTAGTTTGTCCATCCTCTTTTTGTTAGTAATATTGCCTTTTTAAGTTGTAATTAAACAGTTTCTTTCCTGTGGTTTGTCCATCCTCTTTATTAGTAATATGGTCTTTTTAAGTTGTATTAATTAATTATTTCATCACAGTAAGACAATGTTTCTGAACTATTTGATCGGATAATATTATGATATTAATAATATAAAATAATATTAATATTCTTTAAGGATGCACATCTGCTTTGCTTTAGCCTACTTCGCTTATCCTCATCTACTCTTGCGGTTACGATGTGGTCGCGTGTCAATAAATCCATCAATTTACGTGAAGCACATGAACGAAATAATTGAGAAAGACTTTCAAGATCTTCAGTAACTTCGGTTCAGGTCTTGTCCTTAATCCTTTGATTAATAAACTGGTGTGACACTCCAAACTCGTTGGATATGGTGGCCATTAATTCCTGATAGAGCATCATTCTGGTGTGACACTCCAAACTCATTGGATATGGTAGCCATTAGTTCCTGATAGAGCTTCATTCTGGCATGACACTTCAAACCCGTTGAATATGATGGCCATTAATTCCTGGTAGAGCATCATTCTATCACAGTAGGGGACAACATCCTATCCCATTCGATAAGATAATTGAGTAATCCTTTCTAAATATTCTTCAAATTCTGGATTCTTCTTTCTGGTGTGACACTCCAAACTCGTTGGATATGGTAGCCATTAATTCCTGGTAGAAATTCATCTTGGTGTGACACTTCAAACTCGTTGGATATTATAGCCATTAATTCCTGATAGAGCTTCATTCTGGTGTGATACTCCAAACTCGTTGGTTATAATAGGCATTAATTCCTGGTAGATCTTCATCTTGGTGTGACACTCCTCATGAAATAATAGATTCATTGGTGTGTGACCAATTTATAGACTCGTTATGGAAGAGGATCTGAAATTAGGCTGAAGAAAAATGTGTGTATGTCCTTAAAGGAAGTTCTGCAGTTGATGATGGAACTAGCCAGAGACAGTAGGGGACAACATCCTATCCCATTCGATAAGATAATTGAGTAATCCTTTCTAAATATTCTTCAAATTCTGGATTCTTCTTTCTGGTGTGACACTCCAAACCTGTTGGATCAGGTGGCTACCAATATTTGATAGTTGCTATGGCTCTCAGCTAGTAGGTTACTTAATGTTGTCAAAGCTAGTCCTTTTAGTTTTACAGTAAAATAGATAGCTCGTTGTTCATTATTCCATCCATTCACTCAGAAAATGATTTTAAAAAAGTTTAGTATAACTCCTATCATAATTTCCTATTATAGACTGTTGGTTTCCTTGTTGGCTGATATTGAATTGGCCAGTTAAATTTTAGGACTGTATTTGGTAGTGTCATGGCTAGAGTAGTCCAGGAAGATTTTTCAGCAACCAGTCGTGATAATATGTATAGACTAAATAATCAATATTTTGTAGCAGATGGTGTTCCAAGTTAGAACTAATAGACTTACCGTGATGGCTAACACACTGACTAGTTCACTCTCTGTCTTGAAATTATTATACTTTCTTGAATATCTTTAATTTTTCCCTCTAACTAACCTAACCAAAGAACGCTTCATGGAATGCTGTATTTATAATCTATGTTCAACTGTGCAAGAACAAACTTGACATCAAGTCTTAGAACTTTCTAAGTATTCTAGCTAACAAATTATAACATTAAACAAACAGCTTACAACAATATAAAGATGACTTGGTCACTTGTCCTTTGTTACTGCGGTGAGTTATTCCTGGATGGATGATCGAATGAATTCATTGGCTGCTCCATTCTTGACAATCCTCTGGAAGGTATTCCAGGCTCCTCGGCAGGTTGAGTTTTCACTGACAAGTTATTATCCGTAGTTACCCAGTTGGTTGTTTTATCACCTACGTATTTCTAAAGATGATCATAGTGCATGACCTTTGGCTTGGTTCACCTATCCTTCTGGGTTCTGTGAACCACACCATTAATTATGTTTAGTACAATATATGGTCTGTCTCAGCATCTGCAGAATATTTCTCGTGGAGAGAATGAACAGTGGTATACTGCCACCTCGATGTCTTATCAACATTAACATTGTAACGACTTTTTATTGTATTACTAGTTGATTTAACTCTTTCTCGGATAAAGTCATGTATGAAATCGGTGATGTTCTTTAATCTCTCTAACTATTCCGTGTAAGACTCTTCTGATTGACTAGTCTCTGTATTCGATTAAACTAGATCCACTGGCACTTTAAATTATGATGGTGTGCTGCCTGTAGCTTCACATAACTGAATGAAAGATCTTGACCCCGTTCATCCACATAAATGGTTAAAGTAGTTAAAAGTCTATGACTGTATCTCTCCACCATGTCGTCAGAGGATGTTGAAGAGCTGTTGTACTGGTCTTTTTTATCTGACACAAAGTACTGAATGTTTGATATAAGGTTACAGACGCTATTTATAATAATTTGATGTTATATTATGTCACTATATGTGTTTTGGTAAGATTTTGTTGTGATAGGTGAAATTCTGAATTACACATCTTTCTACGGGTGTCTAATACAATTGTTTGCTGTTCTACTAAATCTTTCATGATGTCCATAGAACCTGTCTCAATATACAAATTACATATGTAGATGTTTAATATAACTTGCATTTCTCAGTTTTACAGTGCTAAGTATATTAATATTTCATCTTAATAATAATTATCCTATTTGTTACAAAATATGCAAACATTTTGACCAAGACTGTATTTACTGCTATCAAAACAGTTCTTAAATACAAAACAATGAGATGAAATCTTTTCCCAGGTATTCTGTTCTGAAAGTCATGATTATAATATAGGCCTATAGATGAATACACAAGGAGTTGAAAAGAACTCGTATAAAGTCATGATTATAATGTTGCGTCAGCGAGGTCACGTGACTAGTATCACGCCACCTGTTTCTAGAAATATCTTGTTCCTTCATGAATGCCCTAGCATTTACTAGATATGTGTTAGTCTTGTATATATATAAGACGGTCACAACGTGACGGGACAACAGAGGTAATGAGTAATTGAACTGCAGTCAGAGAGTGTGTAATTG